TTGCAATTTTATTTAATATACTATAAATATAAATTTCGGTAAATACCGATATCGATCGGTACAGTATTGAAATTTTCGGTTTGGTATTTTTACATAAAAATTAGTACCGAAACCGATCGGAACCCTACTTCTAGGCTACTGTTAATATAAGCCACTCCCAGACTGTTGTTTAAAAAGAGCAAAAATATTGAAATAGTTTTTGGTTAATTGTTTGGACTTGTTGATTGTTGTTTTATGATAGTGATATATTGTTGTTAATTTTTGATTGATACTTGATAGAACGTAATTGTTGTTTTAATGTTTATTAATAGTAAAAAGTTATGTGATTATACGGATTTCCATTTTTGAAGTTGTTTATATTGATCTTTGATAAATGTGATAGATGTGTTTTGATATTTTGTAAAGTATGATTGGTTGAAACTAGAGTGTAGATCAGTTACCAGGGGTAAGCTAATTATGGTTTTTTGGTAAAAAGTTTTTTGAAAAAGATTTTTGGATTTTTTGTGGCGCAGTATAGTATATTGGATAATATTGAAAGTTATGTATTGTATATATTGCTAGTTTCCCAAGTCAACAATATATGCAATTTTAATATAAAGTTTTGAGTTTTGCATTAAAAGAAGATCATTTGACAAAAGAAAAGAAGTATTTAAAAGTATTTGTATATTAATAAGAAGTGTTTTAATAAGAAGTGAAAATGAAAAAAGCCCCAAGGAAAATCTATAAAGAAATAACTGCCACAAGCTTTTCCTCATGCAATTCAAGAAGAGAGCAAGATCTCCAAACTTGCTTCTTCCTGACCAGAGATCCCATCTTAATGCACCAGTATATTTCTTTAGTTTTCTTGAGGCTTTTGTAGTAAAGACTAGAAAGATGTAGAGGACTTGTAGATATTTGGAAGTGAAAGGGATATTTTTTTCTTTAATTTTTAAAAAGTTACTATAAAAGAAAATTTTTAAGAAAAATGTTATATATGGGAAAGAGTTTTTTTTTTTAATTAATTTTTATAAATTATTATTATTATTTTTTTTTTTTTATCGCAAACAGGCATTAAATGCAAGACTTTATTTAAACAATGAGTTTACTGTCATTACATTAATAATCTTTGTAAAAAAATAAATACAAATTAATTATAGCCTATTGCAACTTAAACTAGCTACACAAATTTTTATCAAGTAGGTGGATTTATATAGGTAGTGCTGAATGGCTAATGCCCATTCAGAACGATGAAACTATTGCTGGAGTAAATATTTGTTTGTTAGTGAGGTTGTTTGAATTTTGTAGTGTGTTGAGAACTTTTATGAATGATGAATTATTGTTGTTTGTTGAATTTTAACTGTTGTTGGGAGTGATGCTTGGAGTTTTCCTCCATGTAATTCCTAAGGATGGTGAGGTTGTTGAGGTCGCAAATCGTTGTTTTCACACTTTATAAAGAATTTTCAAGGCGTAGTTGGAGATTTCTTCTCTTTTTTTTTTAATATGATTGAGATGGGGCTGATAGTTACATGTGGTGAGATGAATTAAATCCTGACTTGATGGATTGAATATGTTCCTTGAGTTTGTTGTTGTTGAGTTTTTTTTATTGTTCGATTCAAGAATGAGTTTTTGTAATTTGGGCTTTTTTTTGTTTATAAGGGAATGATTGTGTATGCAAGAGAAGACGTGAAGGATATCTTCAGTGAAAGCTTCACATCTGGGGCAGAGATTGTCAGCATATAGACTGGGATATCTTCTGTTTAGTTTTGATTTGGTAGGGAGCTAATTGGCTATGATTTTGGTTCTAAAGGTAGATAAGGCTCTGTACTTAAATTGATCAATTTTTTTGAATTTTTTGTTAGCTTTGATGATGGTTTCGAGATCAGAAAGTGTTGAAGGCCGGAAGCATGAGGTTTGGCTTAGCAGGGTGTCAAATAGGTTTATATAGAAGTTGACGAACTTTATCCAGTGAACTGTGTTGATAGTATGCTTGTTGTTTATTAGAGGAGAGGTTGTGTATGTTGGAAACGAAATTAGTGGGGATATTGTTGTTGTTAGTGTGATATTGTATGATAAGGACTATTCGTTTTTGATTTTGAACCAGTGTATGATTAGGTTTTTTGATTTGGTGATGTCGTTAAAGTTACTAATAAAGTGGCTGTATGGATTTTAATTTGCCTGTTTACATAATTAGGCATTGATAGGTCAGGTATAGTGTTTAAATATATTTTGATGGTGGATAATTGAGAGATGTTTTCTGTGACTTGGTGAAGTATCGGCCAAAAGGCAGACCAGAAATTTGTATTTGTTGTGTAGTGTGTTGTGGAGTTGGGATTTAGAACAATCAGATCATTATTGTTGTTAGAGAAGATATGGGTAGTAGTGTGTAGGTTGTGTTGAGCATTGGGGGTAATGGTAACTTGTGGAATTGCTTGCAGATAGGGGTGGAAGGAGTCCTTGAGTTCATTTAGGTTGTTGAGGATGTGGGGGTGTTAAGTCGTAAAGTGGACCATATTGACATGAGATTTTCAATGTTTTTTTCTTTGAGGCATAGTTGAATAGAACATGAACATTTGTGAATTCTCTTTTGATCGTCGATTGTATAGTGTTGACCTTTTATTGTATTTGCTGGAAGTGCGTTTGTTCTGATTATGATTAAATTAATAGTTTGGTTGTCCAGGTAGGCCCAAAATTTTCTTTTCGGATTAGGAAGGAAGGTGATATTTCCGATTATGGCATTGGATTGGACTGGAATATTGGTAAACTATAATAGGATGGGTCCTGGGGTTATGAAGCCTCTATGGATGTGTAGCTCGTCCCAAGAGAGTTTATAGTCTCTGTTAAAGGTGTATGTATTGTGAATGGTTTTGATATTGGAGTTTGAGAGGTGGAGGGTAATTTTTATAAATTATATACAGTATATAATATAAATTTATATATAAATTGCAATTGAAAAATAGTTTGTATTATATAAAATTTTTTAAAAAAATTACTTACAAAATTAAAAAAAATTATAAAAAAGTTTTTTATAATATATAAATTAATTTTATAAAAAGAATTTTTCAAGAATTTATAAATTTTAATAAATTTATTTAATTTAAAGATCAATTAAGCAACTTGAAATTCAATAAAGATTATTTTTTAATTAATTTTGTTTTCATTTTACAAATCAATAAATTAAAATTATTACAAATAATTTATTTGTTTATTTATTATAATTTAATTAAACCAATATGTTTTAATATAACAATAAATTTCAATAAATTTCAATAATACATTAATAAAATTTCATTAAATCTATTTGTTTTTTATATTCCTATTAATATATATTTAAATTTTTATTTTATTTTATTTTATTAATTAATTATTGAATTATAAATAAAAATAAAAATTTTTTAAACAAATTGTATATAATAAAGAATACTTACTTAAAAAGAATTTTTTTATCTTTGTTATAACTCAGACTGTATTTTTATCTTTAAGTTAATAAAATAATTATTTTTTTTAAACTTGTGTTTTTTATGGTTTCCTTTCTTGACTAAAATACAACTTATTATTTAAACTGTTACAAACTATTATTTTTTTTGCTTAATATAACCCTTGTAAAACTTATATATATTTTTGTTTAATCATTATATTATATTTAAAACATTATACTTTATATAATTACTAAAAAACTTTTAATAATATAATTGTAATAAAAGGTAAAAAATTTTATTATATTGCTGGAGTTTTCCTATAGTAATATAATATATATTATTTTTGATCTTATATAATGTTCAGGCAATAGTAAAGAAAAATATTTCAAAAAATTATAAGATAAAAAAGATATAAATTTGACAAGTCAAACAATTATTTGAAAGATAAGTGTTTGTAATTTTTTTTATTTTAAAATCAAAAAAAATCTATTGTTACACATACATTGAACAATCATTTATAACCTATTGTGTTACAATGAATTACAAAATTAAAATTAAATAAATAGAAATTAAAGAAATTAAAGAAATTAGTCATAATGTAAGTTGCCATTTTAGGAAACTTTATTAATTAGATCGATCGTCTCTCCCCCTAACATTAATTTTATTAAACTTGATCTAAATAAAATGGTTTAATTTGGAAAAATTATAAAAACAAATGATTAAATTATATAAAAATTTCCATGAACTAAACATTTTATTTATTTTTTTTTTAAGAAAAGTCGTTATATAAATTATTTCCTTTCATAGCCCTTCTCGACCGAAATTTTTTAAGTCTCGTTATTATTATTTTTTTTTAGATTAAAGCTCGTGGGAATGTAATTTTCAAAAATTGATTTAGACTTAATTCAAATTTGAACCTCCATAGAAATCAAAGTACAAGGTGAAATATCCATTCATTTATCTCCATCATTTGCCTCTAAAATTTCTTTTAATGATGATTTCGCCGAGCCCCTTTCTTTTGGTTTTGGTTGTGATTCATCAGGCTTCCATCCAATCTACAAATGAGACAAAGTAGTAAATTAATTTGTGATTTACTGAATTATGAACATATCTCGTAAAACATACCATGTAAATTATCTACGAAATTGATATGTGTATTATAAAAAAATTAATTATGTACCGAAGACAATATGTATACTATATAGACCTTGAAATGAGGATCACCTGGAAAGTCGCCGGAATTGATCCATCTGGCTTCCCGTATAATTCTGAGGATGGGACACATTTAAATAAAATAATCAATCGTAAAATATCAAGCCGATATTAAATATACCTTTATATATGGATGCAGCAGCTATTAATGTGTCTCTCTTTAAGAATGATCGTCTACAATTAATCAGGTTCACCAAAGAGACGAAACAAGGAACAAGTTTGTAGCGAGAAAACGTATGAACATTATCTAATTACCTTGTTATCACTGCGTTACTTTCACCCATAGAACGTAAATCCTGAATTAGTTCAAACATTGTTGGATAGTTTACGATAAGATCATCAATGTCTACCGTGGTCAAAGTAAAACCAGCCCGAGAAAGTAAGCTCCCAACATCCCTTACGTCTGATAAAATATGAGATATTAATGATTCTTTCATTATTTATATACATATAAAAAGAAAATTGGGTTTCACCTGTCATGGGAGACACTCGTGGGGAGATACCGCCTTCTCGTTCTGTTTCTGCTAGTTGCAGTGACGTTCTGTAGAAGAGCGGAGTGATCTAGACAAATTAAATATCATCAAAGTTTTCAACATTATTGGAAGACCTATATATGTCGGTATACCTCAATTCAAATAACGTGTCGCCACCAAACATTGAAGCAATAAATACTCCGTCAGGTTTTAACGATCGACGTATTTGAATCATTGCACCTAGTATGAAAATGTGAGTGGCGGAAGAAGCTCATTTCTGCGTAAAAAATGATGAATACCTGGTAAGTCATTCACCCAATGCAGCGAAAGATTACTCAAAACGGCTTCTAGAGAATTTTCTTTAAACGGTAACGATTCTTCATCAACGACCATTCTCTCGACATCGACTAGGAAATATTAAAAAATAAAGGAATCAATGGGAAGCGCTAACTTACGCGAGCGGAGGATGTGCGCTAATCGCCAACCTTATATTACCATCATACTTCACGTCCTTATCCCTTTCCAACATTTTTTCTGTGGATTTGGATAATCTTTAAGAATTACTATATTACCAAACAAATAAATCGCTCTTTTAACAAATAATTATGTCGCAAACCTGACATATCACACATAATCAATTTTTTTATCAGGTCTTCGTCAACATGCTTAACCACATGACCACAGCCACTTCCTAAATCAACAACGGTTCCAAACTTTCTTTTAATGTCCTAGCAAAAAATTAACACGTCCAGTCGCGTTAACGTACAGAAAACTTCTATCATTAAGTGGATTGAAGCTCACCAGCAATCTATCAACAATCCTAAACGCAATCTCGTCTTTAAGATAATCAACTTGTCTGCTACTTTCTACTTCTACGGCGGAACGATCTCTTTGTAATCTTTTTGTATTGCGATCAAAAACGGAGAATACCGATGGCGATATTTGCTTTGCTGTTGCGTAACTACGCAAGTTTGATCGAGTTTTCGACTTGACGATCCGATAAAAGATAAACGATCGCATATCTTTTTTAGATTACGCATAGAATACACGTACACGTAACAAAATGGAACGCGGACAATCTGCCGTTACCTTTACGGAATAATTTCCGTACTTGTTTTTTTTTCTCACCTGATATTACACGGGTAAAGTATAAATACGTTATCTGGGCATCACGTAATCCTACTTTCCTTCGTACTACTACGAATTCCTACCTATCTCATTTCTGTCGTGAGAATAATTTCTCAAAATGGTTAACAATTTATTCATTTGCATGAGAAAAATGTCACAACGCGTGATGAACAGAACCTTCAGCTGCTCAAATGAGCAACGCACATAACCATAAGGCAATTTTTCTTCTTTTTTTTCCCCCAACTGTTTTCCCCTGTACCACGCAATAAAAAACAATTATAATTTCACGATTCTATCACATCATGTTTAAAGCAAACAGTCTGCTTAATGTGTTAATGAAGGGAGAAGCCTCGAATGGCACCTCTCAAACTCAAGTAAATGGTATCGTTGAACAGCTGGTCGTTCTATTTCCCGACGCTGGTACGTGCTTACAACATTTTCCTTTTTTCTAACCTTTCATATTTTGACGAATTCTTGACGGTCATATTATCAGTCTAACGTTGTCAACCAACTGTAGATTCCGAGTATCTGCGTTACTGTGTTGGATTTTACAAGGATAACCATGTTGAACGCATTAGTGAAAAAATATTCAATCATAACAAAGGACATTATCCAAAGATTCCAGAGGGATGTCAGGATGCAAATAGTGTTAAGGCGAAGAATTCATATCTTTTACAATTGAACGAGATATTTCCAGATTGCGAAGTATCCCACATCCGAGAAAAAATATGTAGTCTGGAACATAGTCATGTACAGAGAGTGACGGAGGCATTGTTGAGTTCAAGGGATTATCCCCGTCGACTAAACCCTTCTGTCATAGAAGCATGGGAACATATACGATCGTCAGAATATATGAAGGCTGTCAGATATAAATTGTACAACGATTATCCAAATACTTGGGGGTCAACCATCAAGGCAGTGCTCGCAGAGAATAATTCTGATTACATCAGGAGTTTCACAAAGCTCAAGGATTTGACAACAAACAATTGGTGGACGCCAGTAATTAATCTATTTAAACGAAAGTCTTATAAGGAGATGGACAATCCAGAGTTGGCAGAGGACATCAAACGAATACAGGCACGTAAATTGGAAGAACAGTCTCAAGTGGATTATGAAGTTGCCAAACGAGTGAATTTTTCGGAGTACGAGAATAACAACCAGTTAATCACGTGTGGTTGTTGTTACGGCGATTACACTTTTGAAGAATTGACATGTTGCAACGAGGGTCATTTATTTTGTAAGGAATGTATTTCTAGGTTGGTACAAGAAGGACTTTATGGTCAGGGGTCTTTGCGAGGGAAGCGAATTAATTGCATAGAATCAGATGGATGTGAGGGATACTTTACTGAGGACCAATTAGAGAAAACATTATCATCGGACGTATTCAGAAATTACATAGAATCTCTGGTAGAAAATTCCTTGAAACAAGCTAATTTGTCGCTTGTGCAGTGTCCATTTTGTTCTTATTGTGAAGCAGATGATGATGATCCTTTAAAAATCTCAAAGACATTTGTCATCGTTGCCAGCATTCCTCTAGCCGTGATACCACTTTTCTCATCCTTTGAGAGTGTCGTCAGCGCTCTTAGTATGGTTGCCATATTTATTCTACCTCAAATAGTGTTGGGTATGATGGGGGTACTTCCTATAAAGTCTTGGCTCGAAGAAATTGACAATATAATTAGAAGGGTAAGCGCAGATTGCGATAATCGTGAAATTCAAGGTTTTACCAAACATAACGTGCAAACACAAATCTTCAGGTAAAGAGAAGACGCCGAGGAAATACATTTCATTGCCGGAATCCCGATTGCTCTAAGGTCTCATGTTTGGTGTGTAATCGCGAGTGTAGACCTTTTCATAAATGCTATGAGAAGGAACAAGATAGTCTGCGGCTCTATGTGGAAAAAGCCATGGCTGAATCGGTAAAGAGAACGGTATGTTGACTGAAAAGAGATTGTGTTTATGGTGAAGAAAGACTTGATTAACATCTAATCATTTTATTCTAATGACTTGATTATAGTGTCCCAAGTGTCATGTATCGTTCACCAAGTCTGATGGTTGTAATAAAATGACGTGTCGATGCGGTTCGTGTAAAATGCAATCATTTCATTATTGTTGGCATTATAAAATTTACGAGATTTCGAAATAACATTTGTCGCCTACTATTCAGGATATGTAATGTGTTACCTGTGTAGAAAAGACCTACGCCAAGAGTCATATGCACATTGTAAGTTATATATTAAATTTAGGTATTTCATTTTGAGATAGTGCCACTTAATTTATTAAATTTCTTTTCACATCAAAGTTTGCGATCACTTCCGACCGATACCTGGTCAAAAATGTAAAAAGTGCAATAAATGTGATCTATATAAAACTGAAGATGAAGAGATTGTGATCAAGGAAGCGGCCGCAAAGGCAAGAGCTGAATTCATCAAAGCTCACCCGGAAGCAAAAGAAGCCAATATTTTAGAAAACACCGCTATCGGACCGATCGTAAATGATGGTATTTTTTTTTGTACAGATCAATATTGCTTTGAGTGTGCACCTTTGCATGCGCATTTGATAATGACTGATCTAAACCTTTAAATTAGATGAAAGACTAGTAAGAGAATCGTTCGAAAGAGCCATTGAAAAGATTGTCGAGTATCTATTACCTTAAAAAAAAACTTATTTCTTAACACACGATTTATGTACATTACCTCACAAAGTATGCTATTCTCATTGATGTCATATTCTTTTTTCTATATGTTAAAGCGTATTTTTACTTTTGTATTATTTTGTCATAGTATTTATTATTTCATGATAGACCCCGTTGTTTTGTAAAGTAATTGAATTGAAAACCGCATTGACTTTGTGAATTTCATGTTTCAATATTCGAATTCCTAGAGCTTTTCTAGAATTCGAGAGTCTTGTCGGATAGATAATATTAAGCAAATTGTGCTTTAAGATATTTTTAAAATAAATGTTTAGATTAGTTCAAAGCATGTACCTAAAAAAATGTTATTTTATAGATGTAGTAAAAAGTACCTTTTTTTGAAAAAAGTATTGACGTTACTCCGTGACTTGCCGGAGAATTGATGATGATCCCTTTTACCTTTCTAGCATTAATTCAGAATAATCATGCAAGCCGGATTTTTACGGTATGTAAACAATGCAATATTAACAATTACATCGATTATTTTACTATTGATTTTACAATCGTTATTTCTAATAATAGTAATTATTTTAGATTACCCGATTATTGATGGCAACGAATGTTGAATTATCATGATTCAATATTCTTTACAAAGTACAACGAAAGCATCACCCGAACAACGAGTGCTTCGCAACTGAAGGACTCCTCTGGATAAAAGAGATCTCTAGGGAAGTAAGTTTGTACGCGATTTGACAATTGATAGCCGCATACAAATCAAACAAGAAATTCATGGAAATAAATTTCGAATGAAGTACCGATTAAAGATGGATCGAACACAAACCATCTCGATTTCTTGCTAGGGATTGGAATAGGAACCGAGGGAAATACGCGCTCCTAAAAAACATCATCACCTCAGAACGATTACTAGATATCAATGATACGATTAACATAACAATGAATCATCTGGGTCATCTTTACTTGTGTGTTTTCGTTCGGGAAAAGGTAAATCTCACTCGATCCAGGTGTTCGCACGTTGATGACCAGTTATGATCCTAACGATCAATTAATCGAATGGAGATTTTAATGGAATATTTAAATATCTAAGAAATATGACAAATTACAGAGCGACAAAGATCTTGCTTTGGGAAGAACAAACAAGAGTAAGAGATTTATATTGAGAAAAGAAATGCTACGAATCCATAATTCAATCTTTGAGTGCCATCATCATCTGGCCTGCTGGTTGTTCGAGTCTTCGAGAATGGATTTGAAGAACATGCGAAAGATTCGGCCGAAAACTGCTCGTGCGAGCTAAGAGATTGCAAGGTCATTGAATGCACCGAAGAGTATACATCAAAGACGTGTGGGAATTGTGAATTCGTATCTCGGTGGAGATGGATTGGGACGTGAATGGTGCCAGAAATATCTTGCTTAAATATTTAACGGAGGGTCAGGTGTTTTTGGATTTGAACCTATATGCGATACGATATGCTTAGTAAAGACTAACTTTATATGCTCATATGGAATTCAATTTCAAGGGTTGATTAAATAAAATCACGTGAATGTTAAGGCAACATCACAATTTTATTTTCACAAAACGTCTTTGCATATCTCTTTGGCCATCATACAATATCTCTGTTAAAAAAAAAAAAAAGCACTGCTATATCCTTTTATGCCCTGTCCACACATAATAGAAATCTATCTCCTTATTTTTCAGGCGTTCCTCCTCATCAAGCGGGAAAATCCCGGCAGGTATGAAGATTACAAGCAGTGTGCCTATCCCGGCAAACAACCACATTGCGATGAAATTTATAAGGCGAATTTGACAGGCTAATAGAAATTCGTGCCTTGGGTAATCGTAATCGTAGGGGCAGTAGATCGGAATGGTTCCAATATCATCCTTTGTGTAGTAGGTATATAAAACTGGTGTAACGGATAGGTGGAATAGATTATGTAAATTTGTGATTCCGACACGACTTTCTTTAATACGCATACGCGCATATAAATAAAATGAGCAAATATCTACCATCGATGGTTAGCCATGTCAATATCCAAAACCTATTATTAGTTCAAATTTGATTAGCACAAAAATAATTTGTTTTGAAAAACTGCACGTATGCTAATTGGAAAAAAGGGAGGTACAATAGTTTTAGTTCGATTCCTTTCATGGTCATGTTAGGTTTGTACCAGCAGTGACAAATTGTCGAGAGTATTACCCAACCTGGATTTAAAGAGTCTTGGTGAATTTCTGTGACGAATTTTCTTTATACATATATACATTGGAAAGTTGCTTACATGGCGTGATGAGGGATATGATTAGGTAGCTGGTTCGGAAAAGGATGTGTTAAAAGAAAAGGTAAATACTATTGATGCGCGTGCATTTATGCTTGCCTATATTCCATGGGTTTATTTAATGTATAGGGACTTCCAACTTCTGTAAAGATGCTAATTTTTGCAGCTTCTATAAAACTTGAACACGTTAATATCAAATTTTACAATGGATGAAGTTGAGTGATGGTCGCAAATTACGCGTCGATATCTACCCAAGGTTGGACAAAGAAAAGTGAAAACCAGCGCGATAGCTAATAATATCACGACTGATATCCTCAAATAATTTCGAATTCTTTCGACTTGCTTTATTCCCATTTTCTTTTCATAGACAATTCTGTGTAATTTACGAATTATCTTTGCTCTATTTTAAAAAGAATTATTTATAAGTAGTGCATTTAGAGTCTGGATCTCCTGGAATTCGTAAAACTACTATGGTCAACGTAACGATCATAATGAGAGAAAGAATTTTCCCGTATCCAAGCCCTTACGATTTTCGGAATTCATAACGGATGCTTTCTCTAAGCCTTGCTTTCATACCTGTTTCCGATGCAATTCAAAAAATGCTTAAGCCTTCGCCTCTTATTGATTTGATACTTAGTTTGGACACCACTTTGTGGCTTTATAGGAAGACTATTGCATAAATAATGAGACAAGAAATTTTGTACGTGTATAATAGTCCGTTATGAAATTAAAAATAAAGGACACAGGTTTTAATACCTATGATCAATCAAGATGTCAACGAGAGATAATTAAATTTATTGAAAAGAAATACATGATTTTAGCATATATACTGTACTGTTTTCAAACATTAGACAAAAACATCACATTGCATTCGATGACTATCAAGCGTCAATATCCATAATTTGTTCTTCATTACTATTTTTTGTAGTCTTCAAGAGCCTTGCAGCGTTCCTGCTTCTTTGCAGTGGAACCCTTTCGCGAGGTTTTGGTAGCCAATTTGCAAATACCGCCACAACGAAAATTATGGAAATTGCTTCGAGTATCCACATGGAAATTAAATTTGCCGCGCGAACTTGGCATGCGGTGCGAATTGTTGTAGAACTATACGAATAATCGGAGGGACATGAGAATGGAATATCACCCATCTCGTTAATCGTGAGGACCGTGTATGCGACTTGAAAAGATTAAGATGGTTACTCATTGTGCGCTTATCGAGACGGTAACGTGAATTTACAATATATCTTACTTGATATCCCAAGCCAAAATATAGGCCAAGCGCTTTTTACGTGAAATATAACCACAATAGAAAACAATTAATTTAGAGTATGCACCACACGTGAAAGAAAAGAACCGAAGTTTACATTAATAATGATCTCAGCCTGTCCGGAGGCGTTTGAATTCCCCAATTACATTTCCCGGTTGCTATTAAGATAACGACGCCTGTCAAGTTTAGGGTAGAAAAAATTTCAGATCAATGGCCATCAATGCTCTTGCACGGATTGATGGACGCTTACATGGCATTATTAATGAAATGATCACATAACTAGATACACCAAAAATTTTGTGAGAAAGGAGAGACGAAGTACAGTATAATTAAAAATCCACGAATATTTGTAAAGCTCACCCGTGTTCAATAATATTATTAAAATGAATTTCGCCGTTACTTTCTTTAAATAATTCAATCTTTGCAATTCCTTATCAAGAGATTGACGTTTTGTTAAATTAATATTGTTCCCATCCATAATTCTCTGTGCGTCAGGACATACCGAGGGCCGGACAAAGGAACATCGCCAGTATCAAAGTCACATCCAATATTGCAGCAAACCATCTCTTCGAAGTTTCAGTGCATTGCATGATTTCGACCCGACGGATTTTGTTTTTTTATAGGCCTGTCAGTTCTCATAAATTGCCACTGGTTAAATTATCATTCTTACTTTACATAATCATATATTTCACTGCCAATGATATGATGGCTAATGAGTTGAGGCAAAGCTTATGATTTATTTATAAAGCTAAGGCTGGAGGGCAAGTGTTTTTTTTATTTTCTTTCTACAGAATTTGGCTGAGCTCTTATTGCACAGCCGTGATATAAAACGCGCAATAACATTCGCGTCAAGAAGGGATTGCAAGGAAAATATTTTCATTTTATCATCATTAGAATAAAGAATTAAAGAATAGACTAATCGAATTTGCTAAGGTTAGCTTCTTGAGATTCAATGGTGACAAACTCGATTTAAAGATTCATTAAATCCATTCACTAGAGATCATGCGTACTGTATGTATTAAAGTTTATAATTTTTTTTTTCCGTCGCTTGGCAAATACAAAAAACATGCACTTTTAAGTAATTCCTATTTCAGGACATTAAGTAAATAATTACGTAAATGCCGTGCCGTATATTCAATAGATAAAACAGAGACGATTAACTAAAATAAATTTGAAACAATCTTCTCTAAGTCTTCTATTAAAAATATCAAAAAATTTATTTTTATTTAGGTAGTTTCGAAAGGCTCTGGATTGCAAAAAAAATTTGAAAAGCTATTTATTGTGTTAATATTAATAAATTTTTGTAAAAATTTATTTTAAAATAAAAACATTTTCTTTGTTTGTTATTGTAATTTTGAAATAAATTTAAACAATAATAATCTAATAATTTCAATGACATTAGTTTATTTAAATTATAAATCACAAGATTTTTTTAAATAAAAACAATACATAATAAATGATTTTAGCATACTGTAATTATTAGACATATGAAATTTGCATCATTAATTAAAAAAACATGATCAGTTACTTTCATTTTAATAGAAGCATGATTTGAAAATTATTTGAATAAATGGTTTGAATCAAAAAAAAAATTTTTAGACATCTGAAATTTGAATTCTCAATTAAAAAAATAATCATTTGAATCATACTCTTACTGTTAATTTGGCAACTTATTTTTTAATTAATTTTGATTCTGTTTAATAATCTAAATTCTATTATACAGTTTGTTATTTAATTTAATTTAATTTAATTTTTTTTTTGATATTAAGATCATAGATTTCAATTTAGAAAAAAGCATAGTTACATGCAACAAATCTTAAATTCGACAATTCGTCGAAGATTTAGTTATGTAACTAGATTACAGTCATCAAAAGAATCAGAAAAATAGATTAGATATAAAGCAAGGAAACCCAATAAAATTTTTATGAGCTTTATTAAGAGTTAGCTCGGGAGGAAGAAAAATATGAAATTTCCGAGATAGATGTAAGCGAAATTATCAAGGGTCTTCTCAAAGTATCCATTGCATAACCAATGTTATCTTTGTCTAAATAGAAAGCATTATAAAATTACCTGACCAGTATGAATACGCTATAAAAAGATTAAAAGAAATAGGACCAATCAAATAGATTAATATTTAGAAATTCACTTTCTCTGAACATCATTCAAGATTTGATGTCCCATTGTTGATAGATCTCCATCAATATAATTCACATGTTCCTTTATTTCTTCTTTGGGCAAAATGCTAACGCTACCAAGCAATGGACACAATATTTTTCTCGGGAGACTCTGAGATATCCTGCATTCAAAGATCCTCGAGAGATTAAACTATTAGGTAATTGAACCCTCCCTAAAGACGAAACTTTAAATTTTCATGAATCAAGATCTATTTTTCTCCATTCTTCATTAGGATTTTCTCCTATGTAATCTTCGTAATACATCCAACGCCACCCTCCAGTAGTGTCCAGCTTTTTGCTACAACATTCAGGGATATGGGGCCCTGAAATCTTAAGTGTAGAACTTGCAAGAGCTATAGAATCCCAAATCCGAATAATATTTCCGTCCAGAGTCTTTTGCTCAATTTTCCTGGAGCTACTACGACCAGGATTTGGGAATATTTTACGTTTAGCATTCCCTTTAGGAGTTACTCATTCCAAGTTAATAACCCAATTATCATATTTGATGCCATTAATATAATTAGCATGGGACTTATTTTCTGGATTAGAAATAAAGGCTCGTGTAACTAAAATATGGACAACTCTACTTGTATAAGTGCCATTAGTTTTTAAACTTATCCGTATATAACCTTTCCTTTTGCAAGGATTTGCCCTTAAAATCCTATCATTATTTTTGATGCGTCCAAGATTGGAAACTAGTAACCTGCGGCAGTTTTGACTGGTAACCAAACTTCCATTATGATGTCTGCTATTTATCATCATATCTTCTTTTTAAATTTAGATTAGACATATCTTCCATAGATTCTGTATCGAGAAAAAAATTTCTAATCGCCGTGCCAAACACATGCTCCTCCCTAAATGTGAAAAAGTGTCAATATTATTCATTGGAGTCCAAATCAATATTCTCAATCAAGTGAATTTCCGCTCTGGCTGATAGCTTGGATAGTGATCTTAAGATGAATACTCCAAGAATTATAAATGATCCAATGGATATATCATCACCGTTATTGACCAGAGGTAATCGCAACATTGACCTAATATTATTCAAGAGTGGGACAGAAAAAAATGAACTATGGAGTTGACCGATAAGCCACCTAATAAAAAAAAAGAAACCCGCAAATAGGGAAGATTCTCCCGTATTGAAGATTTATTCAAGAGCTTTCAACTGATGATCCGGAGATTGCAATCTGAATCCACCTCCAAGTCCAATACAACATCAGTTAACTTTCTAAATTTATATCAAAAAATAATAGATGCTGGAGGTATTAATAAAAGAACATTATACGCTACTATAGTATTTTCATTTTGTAAAAGCTATTGATGAACGATTTAATCACTACAGGTAAGAATTTCAAAAGCGTACGTCCGAAGAAAGGTTTCTGATGAGATTCCAAATTTGGCTAGTGAAAACTTTGAAAAACAAAAGAAAGGGCCCTGAATATTTACGATTTATTTAATGAATTAAGGGAGGATAAAATTAAACGAATTTAGACTTTCACGGCAAAAACACCACAGTATCAGAACGATATTAATTACGTATTAGCTATAAATCAGTAGTCACATGATAGCTTGTCACAATCTGTAATAAATCCGTCCATTTTTTTTTCCTTTAATAAACTAGTTCCACAAGGTTTTTATTTTTTAACTGATTGATGCGCATCGGCGTGTGCTAGTTTTAAATGACGAAAAGAAATTGCTAATCGATGCACACCCCTTATCAATTATCAATGACATATTTTCCTTATTTTCATTATGAGGGTATGGATCATTAAATTAGTCATGTCGCCATTAGTGAGAAGAGAAATATGGCGTAGTGTTCCCGCAGTTCAAACCACTGAGCTATGAGACATGAAATAGTTAGTAGAATTCATCTCAACTTTTTTGATCGTCGAACTATACTACACATGTCTACTGATTTCTTTACCATTCACTTTCTTTTTCATACTTCCTATTGTTTGTATTAATATAAAAAAATTACAATTGAATAAAAAATATAGTTTTAAGAAAATATATAGGCTTGGCATATAATGATGTCATCTAGACAAACCAATCAAGCAAGTATCTGCAAAGATACACAAGTCAGACTTGCAGAGCTTAAAGGTGTAGTATTGAATATGATGCATGTTCTAATGCTATTTTAACTCAATATCAAGAAGAGATTAAAAATCTCGAAAAGAAAGCTAATTATTAATTAGAAATAGTTTCCATCTACAAGTTAGTTGACAGATTAGCTAGATCAGAAAAGAATCATAAGCCAAGAGAATCGGATCCAGTTCTTACTACATTTAATAAATAGGCAGACAAAAATTTATTATTAGGAAAAGAAAAACTGATTCAATATGCAGACAATTCAATTACATGGTTCTCAAGATGCATTCCAGAGTTAGTATCCTAAAAAAAGTTGAATGATCATAGATATGACTATTGGAAACTTTCTCCTGATTCAAATAAATTACATATTTTATTTGATTATACAAAAAAAATTCAATACTTGATGAATAATAATAAGAAATATATTATTGAAATTTTTAAAGGCTGAGAAATAGGTAGAATGGAAAAACAAATACAGTATAATAATAATAATAGTACAATTACAAGCTTTAAAAAAGTAAGAATTTCAGGAGAAAATAATGGGTAAAATATAAAGTCTTATAAATGGTTACCATGTATGATAGCATATAATAATTATTTTTGAAAGTGAACTGAAATTTTTTTGAATCTAAAATAACAATGTCAAAATTATAATTTGAAATTATAATAATTATAATAAAATATTTTTTTATTTAAAATTTATATAAAAATCAAAATCAAAATATAAAAATATAAATTAAATATAAAATAGAACTTGTATAAAAAAAATAATTGGATCCAAAGTCATATATAGCTATTATGTTTAATATTTTGAACTCTATTTTATATTATTACATTATATTTTTATGAAAATTAAAAACCAATATATTTTACTCTAATAATTAATCTTTATCTATTTCCATTTTTCATAATTTTTGAATAGCAATATTTTGATTTTATTTTTATTTATTAAAAATGCATATTTTAATTTTCTTGTATTTTTTATAATTTATATTTTTAATAAAATTTTTTTATTATAAATGAAAAATAATTAATTAAAAATAAATTAAATTAATTAAACAAAATAAAAATATGATCTGAAATATTAAACTAAAAACAAATTTATTAAATATAACATGAAGAATTAAAAAAAACTTTTTAATACAATTAAATTACAAATAATAAATCATAATTTAAAATTTTTTAAAAATAATTAAAATATTGAATTTGAATTTTATTATTTTTATTTTTATAAAAAATAACAAATCCTAAAAATAATATCTATGTTTATTATACAAATTCTTTTTTATTTTAATTGATTCATTATCAATTTGAAATTTTCTTTA